AAGTCATTTTGCCCTGCAAGATCCTGTCTGACACTTTTCTCCTGTTTTAGGGATTACTATTATTTGACTGATTGCCTCCATTATTCGTTCAACAAATATTTTACCAAGCTTCATACTGAAGAAAGTGGAGGGCCGGACTCGGTGGCTCAGCCTGTAATCCTGCGCCTTGGGAGGCTGAGGTGAGTGGACTGCCTAAGCCCGTGGGTTCGAGACCCGCCTGGGCAACTTGGTGAGACCTCATCTCTACAATAAATAAAAAAAACTAGCCGGGCGTGGTAGCGCGTGCCTGTATTTTCGGCTACTTGGAAGGCTGAGGCCGAAGGATTGCCGGAGCCCAGCAGGTCGAGGCTGTGCGGTGGTCGGGAGTGGCCACTGCACTCCAGCCTGGGCGACAGAGTGAGACTCCCAACTCAAAAAAAAATAGAAATACAAATGTTCTAGAATTTAAATCATCACAGATTATCAATATTATATTGCCCTCTGACAAACTAGATCATATGAAGACATTAATTACTAATTTATTTATTTAAAAGATATGGGGTACAATTCAGGATTAGGTATACAAGTGGTCATCGTACAGGTCAAGTTTGGGCCTCCCTTTGGTCCCCACTTTGCCTGGTTTGAGATCAGGTACCCTTATTGATGTTGTGTGCCCCAACTCTCTTGTTTCTGTGACTATATAGGAGCAAATGTAAACCAAGGCAGAGGTCTGGATTCCCCTCTTCACTCAGTGGCCAGGACGTCCAGTGGGGAGCTGGCCAGTCTGCTCATGGACTTTGGAGCCGACACCCAGGCCAAGAATGCTGAAGGCAAACGTCCTGTGGAGCTGGTGCCTCCGGAGAACCCCCTGGCCCAGCTCTTCTTGCAGAGAGAAGGTGCTTCTTCTTTGCCTGAACCTAAACCTTAATCCATAGAGACTCCTTTCGGCTCTAGTAAGAGGCAGGTACTTACCGAGTTCTGATTTCCAATCCTATAAAAGACCATTCTCTGCTGTCACCAGATCTGGGGAAGTTGAGATAATCTGATGTTCAGCAAGGTACAGGACTGGTTATGCAGTAAATAACCATCCTGCCCTGTGGCATGCTGGAGACAGGCTCTGGAAGACCAGTTTTTTAAAAAAGATATTGTTTTAAAATTCTAATGTTAAAGTGATCTAAAACCTGCTTTAGAACGACGCAGCAGAGGCCTCTTTGGGGTTATGTGAGTCCCCAGGATATCTTACCACACCACAGATGTGCCAAACTACTGGACATTTGGTTTCTGGGCTTCAATGCAGCTATTTAAGTGTTTAGGGTATTTTTTTTTTTTTTTGATGAATCACTGCAATACAAAGACATTTACTAGTATAAGTTAACCAGTGGTAAGGCCACACTCCTCTACAAGTAAGAACTAACACTCCTAGCCCAAAGAACTAAACACTGTGGTTGAGCAGTGTGTCAGATAGGATTTTCCCCATATTATTTTATTTTATTTTTTTTACACGATGGGGTCTCACTTTGTTGCCCAGGCTGAGGTTCAGTGGCATGACAGTAGCGCACTGCGGCCTCAAACTCCTAGGCTCAAATGATCCTTCCACCCCAGCCTCCCCAATAGCTGAGACCACAGGTGCACGCTACCACACCTGGCTAGTTTTTAAAATTTTTTTATAGAGATGGGGTCTTGCTATGTTGCCCAGGCTGGTCTCAAACTCCTAACCTCAAGTGATCCTCCTGCTTCAGCCGCCCCAAATTCTGGGATTACAGGAGTGAGCCACCATGTCCAGGGAGTAGGGGTACTTCCCTGGGCTTTGAGGTCAGGGATGGGCTGGGCTGGAAAGCAAAGACTCCTCAGGTTGGGAAGACACCTGATTGTCATCTTAATTGCCCTGGTGGCAACTTAGCAGCCAGCCAGTACCTACTTTCTTACCAGAGTGTGGACTGTGAAAAGCTTTAGGCGCTGTGGGGCTTTAAAGCAGACCTTCCTACTGGAAGGATTCTGATGTCACACACTGGTCATTTTCTCCCCACATGCTGAGAAGTAGGGCTGGTTCTGGGTAGAACTGTCAAGGGGGCCAAGAAATCCTTCCTTCTACTACCACTGTGCCGGGGTGCTTGTGGCCAAGCCCCTGCCTTGAGGCATACCAAATAAGGTCTGTACTCCTGAGCAGAGCTGGCCAGGTAGGACAGACCGACCCCAGGCACAAGGAGCAGTCCAATAGAGATCCCTTTCTGTTAAGCACTGGGATAATCACAGGGCAATTTCACCTGCATTTCTTGTTTTCAGAAAAATTTTCTCTCTCTCTCTCCACACACACACACACACACACACACACACAATATATATATATATATATATATATATACATATATATATATATATATATAGGCCAATTTATCCATCAGACACAAATGACACAGTGCCTCTGGGTCCACAGAAGTGCCTTAGTTTCATTTAAAATCAGAAGAAAAAAATGAATAAAACTCAACCTCGATTATAGATTATAGTCATCTTTATACCAACACAGTTGTAAAACATAATTATGAAATTTTTTTTATTAGGAAACAGATCTGCAAAGGCAAAAGTGCCTCAGGTCCCCCTAAAGTCATAATGTAGGGTCTATATATGCCCTTCTCCATCTCATGGATAAGAATCTCATAGGATTTCCAAATTCCCTTCCCTGACTCTTCCTTCTGCTCCCCCCACCCCAAGGCTATTCCTAGAGACTTAGGTTGCCTTTAATTCCTTTAATTTTTATTTCACATTTTACATGGTGACAGCGTAGCCAATGATCCCACTGGTGTATAAGGTGTCATTTGCCACTGGAGAGAATCGCCACTTGTTTTGTCTGTATGAGTCACTTTATGGGTAAAGTCTCCTCTCAGCAGGCTAGAAGAAGCCCACGGGGAAAGGGGATCAGGCAGGTGAAAAAGTCTAGTCCTGCAGATTGCTGGCAGAAGTTTCTGTCTTTGGGTGTCCTCACCAGTTCGTTTGCTTTAGTTCACCTGTTTCTCTGTATCCAAGGAAGGGAATTCGCTCAATTACTGTCCTCTTTCAATGGAGGAGAATGTTAGGGGAAACCCAGTCATGTTCTGAGTTGGGCTTTGCATGGGTGTTAGGAAAGGTGGGATTTTTCCTTTCTTCGGGGGACAAAGGAAAGGATGTCAAGATTATTACCCCCCACTCCCTTGATAAGCATCTAAAGCAGTGTTTGCTGATGAAAACCAAAAATGATTATTCTTTCAGCCCAGCAGCCCCTGTTCCCCTCACCCAATGCACGATGCTTTAAAGCATATTGAGTGCTGTCGGGGGAAATACAAAGAAGTCAAGGCTCCAAGGAACATGTCAATTCATATCCAATGAGATGGTTTTATTATTGAGCAGAGCAAACCCCCAAATGTTTGCAGGGGCCACAAGTGGCTACAAAGCTGTTGTAGTTTTCAGCTCTGTTTCTATGGAATCAAAGCTACAGTTGCTATACATTGTGGTATACAGTCGGCAGCATTCGTTTGGCATCAGTACATTGAGCTTACTCTGACATCCTGACTTTTGTAATTCTCCATCAGGCTTGCTCTGAGATTGTGTTCTTCATAATGCTGTATCAGTACCTCCTGTGGTTGTCTATGACAGTGTATCTAGCCACATCCTTCAACATTCCTTAGTGAGGCTAGATTGAGTTCAGTTTCCCCACAGTGTACCTTCTGCAGTTCACTAGTATATGCCTTGACTGCACTGGGCATAATCTGGAAAGTGACTTACTCCAACAGGGCCCTTCTGTTAGGGCCTGACCTAAAAGACTGCATGTATTTTGTAAAATTGTGTATGTGTCTATTTCCACCTCTCCTTTTTCTCCATCACCGGAGAGAGATGTAACTCAGTTGATCTTGTGGTGATGCTGTAGGAAAATAGCAGACACAGTGCCCTTTTGACTGTATTCTTGACCCCAGCCTCACAGTCAAATGACCTGGGGCACATGCTCTTAAAAATCCAGATGCTTGCAATAGAAGCAACCTCTTTGGAGTGGGACCCAGCATCATGCAGTTGAATGTCCCCCCACAAGGTGATTCTGAAGTGCAGTCTGGATTGAAGACTACTGCTTTATGGAATTCTTGAGGGTATGTAGTTTTTTCTTTAATAGCCAAAGAGAAGTCCCATTACAATTTGATGCGGGGGGGGGTAGGGGGTGTGGAAAAACATTTCCTATCCTTTTCCCCTAGAACAGGATTTCTTAGCCTCAGCACTGTTGACATCTGGGACCAGTTGGGGACTGTCTTGTGTACTTTAAGATGTTGAGCAACATCCCTGGCCTCTCCCACCAGATGCCAGTACACCTTCCCTCAAGTATGGGCAACCAAAACTGTCTCCTGAAACTGCCAAATGTCCCCCGGGGAGCAAAATACCTCGTCCTCCTTCCTTTCTCCCAACCTGCCCCTGGTTGAGAATCACCGTCTCAAAATGTAAACTGTTAGCTGTTTCCTATGCAAAGTTTGTGCTCGTTCACTTTTCACCTAGAGTTGAAACATTGGCATAGCTCTAAGTACAGAGTATACAAACCAGCACGACTTAAGATAACACACTCATGATCACTGAAAGCTCATTATAGTTGAATACTTTACAATTGCTCAAATTGGAAAATAAAAATGTCTGCATCTAGAAATATGCCCTTATTTTGTAAAAGATAAGAATACCATTAAACATGAATTTCATTTTCATTACTGGAATTTTTGCATGGCTGTGTAATTCCCAAGTTAGCTTCCTTAAGCCCCTGATAGTGAGACTAAGCTTTACATTTCTCTCACTCGGTTCTAAATTAAAACCTAACAAGCTCATTCCGATTAGATGCCAGAAAAGAGAGAACACAGCCTAAAAATGCCTCCTACAAAAAAACCCCAGAAAACTGTCTTAAATAGTACCATATTGTTTCCTTATAACAATGTTATATCTTGTATTCTTTAAAAAGAAAAAGGAAAGGAAAATCAGTCTTAGATCAATGGCACCACTGTGTGACTCGTCTTATGATCTTTCTCCAGGGCCCCCTTCTTTGATGCAGTTATGCCGCCTTAGAATTCGGAAGTGCTTTGGAATCCAGCAGCATCATAAGATAACCACACTCGTCCTCCCAGAGGATCTGAAACGGTTTCTACTACATCTTTAAATGCCTCAAGGGAATGGGTTGACAAACAGCAAGAACACATTGTTGAGTGTTGTAGCCACTGGAATTTTGAAATAAAGTTGGGTTTATAATGTTTGGCTAATTTTTTTGACTAGATTTTTGTTTTTAATAGAAACACTCTGGAGACTTTTGTTCTATTAGTTAGAATGCATGAAGACTTTTTCCACTGCTTGGAAGAGAGTGTCTAAAAAAACAACTATTGTTTTGAACATCTATTCCGTACCAAGCACTAAAAAAGGAATATTTTATACATCGTCTTATTTAGACCTCACAGCAACACTATCAGGTGGCTACTTTTCACCCCCCTTCTCCAGGTAAAAAACACTGACATTCAGGGACATCCACACGTCCTATATCCCAGAGCCAGGATAGAGGAGCCAGATTCAAATATAGGTTTTCTGATGTTAACTTGGGGATTTGACTGAGGCAGAATTTTCTAGTATCACTATCCTGAATTCACCTGGGAAGGAAGATAAAGGAGAAAGACTTGTCTTCGTTTACATCTAATTTGTTTATATTTTCCCTGTTTTTATAACAAAACCACTACTGCCTTAGTATAGTATAGGGGCCAGTTCATTTTTTCAACACAATGCTGTGTGTGTGTGTATTGTAGAATTGTGCTAATATAGTAGCCACTTAATCCAGTGGTTCTCTGCCAGGGGCCATTTTGCCACCCAGGGATGTTCAACAATATCTGGAGACACTTTGGTAATTACAGCTAAAGGGGAGGGTGCTAATGGCATCTCATAGGTAGAGGACAGGGCTGCTGCTAGACCTCCCAAAATGCACAGGACAACCCACAACAAAGAATCATCCAGTCCAAAATATCAACACTGTAGTGCCCAGGTTGAGAAAACCTGCTCTAGTCATATGTGGCAATTTCAAAAAAATATAAATTAATTAAAATTAGGTGAAATTAAAGATCCAATTTCTCAGTGTCATTAGCCACATTTCAGGTGTTAAATAACCACAAACAGCTAGTGGTTGCAGTATTGGACAGTGCAGACATAAGATCATCATAGAAAGTTCTGTTGTTTTGTCATTGAACAAATTTCTATTGGGCAGTGCTCTTTAGAGGATCGCTGAATGGATTCGAACTGCTTTTTAGTTTCAGATTTACAGGAATCCTGTGATGTCATTTAGTAATGATGACTGTAGTTTCAGTTAGCTCTCTGAGAAATGAAGCTGGGGCACTCTTGCATCAATCAAAAGAAAGGAAATCTTGTAATTACTTAAGTCAAATCCTTACCTGTAAGATGACGTATGACCAAATGATCTCTTAAATGTATTTCCAATATCATCTTTCTACAATTCTAAATTCAATTTGCTATATGAAAGACTCCAGAATATTGTTCTAAAATACGCAACTAGCGTCCCAGCAGATGGCGCTGTTGCCACACAGTCACTTAAGCGAAAGGTTTTTCTCACAAATGACCCATCATAAAATGGTTTACAACATAGGTTCTGGAAATTTCCATTCAAGAATGAAAACTTTGTAGTGATAGATTCCACCGACACTGGGTTTTCTGCTTCTCTTCCAATGTACCCAATAATTCAAATGTGACTTTACAGAACCTCACTTCCTGCTCCTTTTTTTCCTTCTTAATCTGATCACTGCTCAGAATTTAGACAGCTAATTAACATCAGCACCCTACCACTTGCGAATTCATTTACTTAGGAAATATTTAGTGAGTACCTGTGTTTGTGCTAGGCACCATTCTACTCACCGGGGTGGTAACAGCGAACAAGATAAGAGATTTGACTTCCTGAACCTTACACTCTAGCCAGAGAATCATTTGCTAAGGGTTGAGGAGCCGTAGGCATTTTGCTATAGTTTTCTTTTGGAAAATGCCAGTTCAAAAAAGATAGCATGAGCCGGGTTTGGTGGCTCAGCCTGTAATCCTGCGCTTTGGGAGGCCGAGGTGAGTGGATTGCCTGAGCCTGAGGGTTCGAGACCCGCCTGGGCAACTTGGCGAGCCCTCATCTCTAAAGTAAATCAAAAAATTAGCCAGGCATGGTAGTGCATGCCTGTAGTTCCAGCTTCTTGGAAAGCTGAGGCGGAAGGATCGCCGGAGCCCAGCAGGTCGAGGCTGCGGTGGCCGGGAGCGGCCACTGCACTCCAGTCTGGGCGACAGAGTGAGACTCCAACTAAAAAAAAAAAAAAAAAAGATAGCATGATTTTTCATAAAAAAATGTGTCAGACACACCCTTGCTTATGTTAGTCTTTCCTCAGTCAAATCCATTGAGTTTAACCCAGGACTGTAACAATTACTAAACAGCATTTTTCTTCTTAAATATTACAGGCAATTAATCAATTTGCAAATCCATATAATCAATAGTCATCCATACAAATGGGGGAAATACCACCACTACCTCTGTCATCGCAGTTAGGAAAATTTCAAATTATCTCACTTAGCAATGCTCAGAAAGATTGTATTTAAACAGGAAGTCTATTTTTTATGAGTCTAGATGTGGTTATATTGTGAGTGGCATATACCTTTGAATGCTTTATCATTCTAATCTGGCACAACCTCATAAATTCTATCATCAAAACTGGTTAAATGACATTTAACAGGCTGTGAATCCATCGTTTAGAAATGGTGATCATTTTGTCTGTTTTTAGATCGCAAACTTAACACAGATTCATTGTTGATCAATATCATATTATCGTTTTACTACATTTTCTTTGATTTCATTCAGTGCAAATGCTGTCGCCATCAGTAGAATTGTGCACATCACTAGCACAATTCATGTTACAATGAAAGGAGAAAGCAAGAGGAAGTGCTTACTTATTTCTTCAAGGTTTATAATGGGGCTGATTGACATAGGCTGATAATCCACGTACCAGGCTGGAGTGGCTATTCAATAAGCAGACATTAGGGGCTTGGAAATGAGGGACCGAGATGTGCTTAGCTATCTGTTCTGGAGCACAGGGTTGGGTCTTTATAATATGATAAAAGCTGAGTATTAGGACTTCAGTGTAAGACCAGGTCAGCATCAAAAGCAACTAAATAACACCTCTCATTCTAGAGGGCTTGCTAAAAGCTAGTCATGATGCATTGGTGATTTATAAATTCTTCAAACACTCACAGCTCTTATTTCCACTTTACAGATGGGGGTGTAGAAGGGTTAAGAAACGCGCATAAAGTCACACAGTCTTATCAGAGGGCCCAGCAACCTGCGAATGCCATAGCACACACCAGAGGCAGGATAAGGGGCCTTCTGTTAGATGTAATCCGGAAGCTTATTCCAGTGGGAAAAGAACAGGCATGCCTAGGGCTTCCTGTGTCTTGCTCCTGTCCTGCATTTCAGGGTGTTTGGGCTGGGACTGAAGAAGTCAGTCTCAGGTTTGGCTTCTGCCTTGGGCTCATCTTGATGTGGAACATGGCAAAAATCTTTGGCACGGTCCTTTCAGTACAGACAAGTGTTCAACCTTTATGCTGTAGCCTCTGTGATGTGATAGAGGAGAAGAATGTCCTATTACTTAATACACCCTCCAAGACCTTTCGACTTCTTCAAGTGTATAAATTCTCACTGGTTTGACAAGATTGATTTTCTACCCTTTACTTTGCAAAATCCATTGTGAGACCGAAGCAAGTAAAATTGATTTCTGCTCACTTCCTTCCCCACCCAAGGCCTCTTAGCTCACTCCTGGAGATATGAGAATTTCTAACTTTCTATGCCCCTTTGAAAAGATTTTTCTTTAGTACAGTGAAATCAGACGGTTTTACAGGCCTGTGTGGGAATTTTAATGTGATATTCTAGGAGTAAAAGCTCCATTAGTTCAAGAAAATAACTCTATTGTATCCTAGTTAGAAGCTTAAGTATTTACATTGTAAATGACGGGTTTTAACCATGAAAACAGGACAGTAGCTCATATGGTTTGGGTATTTGTCCCCTCAAAATGTAAATGTCATGTTGAAATTTGATCTCCAGTGAGAGGTGTTTGAATTGTGGAGGTGGGTCCCTCATGAATGGCTTAGTGTTGCTCTTGCACAGTGAGTGAGTTCTTAGTTTCCTCAAGATCTGACTGTCCAAAAGAACCCGGCACCTTTCTCCTCTCTCTTGCTCCTTCTCATCATGTAACATGCTGGCTCCCTTTCACCTTCCACAGTGAGTGGAAGCTTCCTGTGGTCCTCACCAGAAGCAGATGCTGACACTATGCTTCTTGTGCAGTATGCAGAAACATGAGGCAAATACATCTCTTTTCTTTATAAATTATGTAGCCTTAGGTATTTTTTTATAGCACCATAAAATGGACTAAGACACTATCACTCTGCTTTTTATTCAGTTCACATTCTGTGCATTTTACTTAAATAAGAACGTACTTCAGAAAGTCACTGCTAGAAATGTATTCCTGAGTTGCATTGTACAGAATCAAATATAGTGGGTCTGAGTTTTACTTTTCAACATAGATTATAAAGAATGTCTTATTCTTTTTAGTTCTCTAAGGTGAATTTAATTGGTCCTGAACCACTATCAGCCTGGCTGGAAATTCACTATTAGTCAAAATATGGACCCCACTGAAGGATTAAGTAGAGATCTCAATGGCCTTATGTTACCAGAACATACAAGTGGGGCCCTCTGGTCTTAGTTCTAGGTGGCCACAGATGATGTTTGTCATTTGGGCCCATGTGGTTCCTTGGAGGCAGAAGGCTCTGAGGCAGTCATGTAATATAAAGCTAGAACTGAGGCTAAGGCATCCCAGGGCCTGAGATCCAGTTTTCTTAGAAAAGCCTTGTAACCATTCCTTCTTAATACTGTGCCACTTCTCCAAGCTGTTGTGTGGGAGGAGGACATGAGTACCTGCTTCTGGGACCCACCCCCAAGCCCCAGTTCCCTTTCTGTCTTGAGGAATTAATGTCTCTCCATGTTAGCAAATTCCACCCTAGATCTTCAACTGCTCTCTCCCTTCTAGTCCTGGGGAAACCTAACCGATTCCCTCAGTGGGTGTCAGAGATGCAAACTAAGAAAGTAGGCACCCAGCACAGAAAGCCCCTGCCTCTGGGGAACCACAGTCTTTAACTCGGCAACACAAATTTTCCTGAGTCCTGGGAAGCACATGCTTTGGTAGTTTATACTTTCCCAATTATACAGAAAAAGTGAGTATGGGGAGGTGACTTTGGAGGTT